GTCCCAGAGATTCGCCCATAGGCGTTACGTTGTGGCTTCATATATATATATATATATTTAAAGACCTGGATTTTTAGGCCGACTTTCGCGTAATAGTTAAGGTTCCATCTTTTGGTGGGTGCCTCTGCTGGAAATTACGGTTTTATAATGTGCAGTGTGTTCAAATTGTTCTGTTTTCAATTTCTTTCATTAAGCTACATTTGATTCAGAAAGGCGGATTATAACTCATTAGATCAAGATGCATGAGAATCACATCTCAAGTAATGTGATGCATTCCATGATATTTATAGCTTATTTTTACTGGGCTCCTCTTTAACTATAAAATTCACGATCTTATTCTTTCTTTTACAGTGATTTGTTTCACATTAATTATGTGCAGTTATTTCACATTTCTAATGTATGTACGAATTGTATCTATGAATTTGCTAACTCCAAATAGTTGGGATAAGGCTCGGATGATGATGATGATGTCGATGAATTATAGCTTCTATTTTGTGAAATTCTTTGATATCTTTATGTAATTGAACTGCTTCTGAACTTATAAGCTCCCAAGTACCACTAATAGTTGCCATATGGTACTGGATTCAAGAGTCCTTACCTTCCTTTATGTAATCTCAATTTGGTAGTCCAAGTATTTATCAATTTTGTATATCCTGCAGGCAAGCATTTGCTTCATTGTCTTGTTACGAAGTAATCTTCTTCATTTATCGGATTTGAAGTGTGTTGCTGACGTACTGAACTTTTACTAAATTTTTGTTCTGCATTTGAATTTAGATTGTAAAATTTCAAACCAGCTTGCATGGTGCTTAATTTGATGGTGTCTAAGCAAGGGTGTCTTTGGCATTTCATGGTTTTATAAGCAGTTTCCATTGGGGTCTGATATTGTTATCATATTTTTTCTTGTTACACATTACCACTTGGTTTATAATCTATGTATACGACTTCTTGCTATAGGGAATTTGATCTTTTTTGTAAATTTTTAATGTTTAGTAACCTATGTGCATTCACGTGTTTTGCATATGTAGAAGGAGGAATTGTCTCCTGTCCTTATTACATTCAACCCCTATTTGTCAGCCTTATAGAGTCATGTTTTATTTTTTTTCTACTGATTCTTAGAATGAATTGTTTGATATTAGCTGAAGGGAAAGGCAACCCCTATTTATCAGCCTTATAGAGTCATGTTTTATTATTGTTCTACTGATTCTTAAAATGATTTGTTTGATATTAGCTGAAGGGAAAGGAAGGGTGTTTTGTGGCCTTTCTAGGACCGGTCCAGAGATTCAATTATGGCTCCAGTGAAATTTCATATGGCTTTGGAAGCAATGGGAAACATTGGCATTCCTCCCAAAGCTGTAACAGCTGTCCTTAAAAACCTCTTGAAGCTTTATGACGATAATTGGGAGCTTATGGAAGAAAAAAATTATAGAGTTCTTGCAGATGCTATCTTTGAAGCCCAGGAGACCAAGGTGCAAATTCAATTAACATTCTTAATTACTTTTCCAGTCTGACTTCCATTTTTTCTTTGGTTGATTCCCATTTGATCACAAAAATGACATTTGGGATAAAGAATTTTTGGAATGACCAATCAATAGTGATATGTTTCCTCATTAACTTGCTGATTTTTTTAAGCAGAAGCAAGAAAGAAAGAGGAAAGCTGAGAAAATTGACGTATGTCAGCCATCCTTGCCTTACGACTGTTTGCTTCACTTTTTATCCTGAGAACTCTTTTATCTCTGTTTCCTTTTATTTATGTGTTTTGGTATTTATCCTTTGATCAGAGAGAAGATGATAGGAACAAGGAAATTGAGAGATATGAGACAATGGCTACAACACGTACACATTCTCGCTTGAGGATAGAAGAGCCATCTTCACCATTCCTGAGAACAGAAGAGCCTGTTGCTTCACCCTTGAGATTAGAAAAGCCTCCGGCAGCATGCACAACTCATTCTGGTTTTGGAGTTGGTGAAAGCCCTTCAAAAGAACCTAAACGTGTACCATCTGCTTGCCCTGCAAGTGGTGAAAGGACATGGAAACTAATAAAATCTGAGGAGCCTGATTTGCCGTGTACTAATTTGGGGCAAGAAAAGGCAGCAAATGAGGCAGTTCCTAGCACCAAAAGGTGCTTAAAAATGCCTAAGATTGAACCAGGCATTGAACCCTTACCTGATGCGTCTAACGCAAGGGAACCTTACGATGATGGTTCCCCCCCATTGGATAAGAGGTCTCCTGCAAAACTAAAGTCTCCTTGTGATAGGTATATGCATATTGAGAAACCAAAGGATCGTGTTGATCATGACAATATGCCTAATCATCACAGTAAGAGTCCATGCCGGCTGAACACTGAGGAATTGCCTAGCTGTTTCCAGCAAGTGGAGTTTGAGGTTCCTATTGCAGGGATCCCACCACTGTTCTCCAATGTATCTGATGGTACCCACTGTTATGGTTTTTAGGATGTACATGGTTGATTGGTTGAAAACGTAATGCATAATCTCATGGAATATGGAACAACCATAGTGCATTGGATCATCACCATCCATTGGAATGTTGGATGGTAATGGAGAGTGAATGGAACCCGCAATTGGGTCATGTCCTGGTTTTTGCTGGGTCCTACCTTCTCTTGATTACCATCTGTCATTTTTGTGCATGATGATGACCTTTATGGATTAAGGTTTTCTCATTTTCTACTTGACTATAGTGTACTTTCCCTAACAGTTACTTTTACTCCTGGATGCCTGATAATTTTTTCTTCCAAACTGATTGGATTCTTGAGCTCTTTTTGAACAGTAATGCTTAAGTTAAGTAATTCCCTTACCCAATTTGTGCTTTGTTTTTATTTTTTTGCCTATCCAGTGCCTAAAGAAGGTCCCTGCTCCAGATATGAATCTTTTGAGAATACAAGAGTCCCAAATTCCCCTTCAGCAAATTATACAGATCAAGTGGGAGAAGAGGATGTGCCCCCCTCTTCCAGTGGACCATGCCGGAATTCTAATCGTTTGGAACTTGTTAGTGTTCCTGAGGCGACTGCGAACTATGAGATTGCCTCATCAAGCTCAGGAGAGGTTAAACTTTCTCTATCATGTAATTCTGCTACGGGTCTCCTGACTTTCATGTGCCAAGTTTAGAGGCAGTCCTAAAATTGGCAGAGGATCGTGCTCTCAAGACGTACAGAATTCTTGATCCCAGCTTTTCCATTATCAAGTTAATGAAAGACGTGCCAATGCTTTCTAGAACTGAGCACTGGCAGTACGTCTGGTGATGAGGAAACCCATGTGAACCTAACTCCAAACATTAACTTGTTCTCTTCCAAGAATCAAGACCGTGGGCTTGATGCTAAAGGGGTTTTTGCTTACTTCGAAGGATTTAGCATTGAATCATGCTCAAAGTTTTCGTTTATCTGTTGATGAGAAATTCCTCCTATTTCCAAGGCATATAAACTTACATGGCATGGATGGACTCTGCTTAAATGAAAGAGCTAAACCCAATGACAAGGGTAAGAAGAAGAAAGAATTGGGCCCAGATCCCAACTCACGAATGTTGGTTGTTTCTTCACAAGCCCAACTTTCTATGGATGAAGCCAGGATAGTGCACTGTGTGAATGACATATCCAAAGGTGAAGAGAGTGTGAGGATCTCAGTGGTAAATGAAGTTAGCAGTGAACGCTACCCTCCCTCATTTCAGTATATCCCAAAAAATATTGTTTATAAAAATGCATATGGAAATTTCTCTCTTGCTCGCATTGGTGATGAAGGCTGTTGTCCGGAGTGTTTAGGTGATTGTTTATCTTCGTCACTCTCATGTGCCTGTGCTCGTGAGACAGGAGGTGAGTATGCCTATGCTTTGGATGGCCTTCTCAAGAAAGAATTTCTGGACCAAGCACTTTCTATGAACCGAGACCCAGAAAAGCATTATCACTTTTACTGCAAAGGTTACCTCCTTGAAAGGTCAGGGAATGAAGACAAACCAGCTGCATGCAAAGGGCACCTGGTAAGAAAATTCATTAAGGAATGCTGGAGGAAGTGTGGCTGCAGCAGACAATGTGGAAATTGAGTTGTGCAGAGAGGAATACAATGCAATTTGCAGTTCAAAATTTCTCTTGTATCTGGGATGTGTTTCGATTGTTGCCTGTTCTAACGCTGTCGAAATCTACGTACAACAAACTTGAGGATCTTCTTAGAAAAATTTCATATGATTCTTAGATTATCATGTCATATAGCTATTTGATTGCCTTTTCCCATAAAAGTAGAAGTAATTATACAATTGAGATATTCTGATGGCATGACTGTGTGCTTCTTTATCTCCTTTGTCTTATAATTCTTTCTATTGAATTCTCATTTATGGATTCTATATTTACCCATTTCTCTATCCATGAGTTAGCAAGCTATTCTCAATGTTATTTCTTGTATTTCAGGTATTTTTTACCTCGGAAGGAAAGGGATGGGGTCTTCGGACTCTCGAGGAATTACCTAGAGGTACTTTTGTATGTGAGTATGTTGGTGAAGTGTTGACTAACACTGAGCTCTATAATTGAAATGCTCAAGGCGATGGAGTTGAAAGGCATACATACCCAGTGCTACTGGATGCTGATTGGTGTAAAGAGGGAGTATTGAAAGATGAAGAGGCACTTTGTCTGGATGCAACACATTTTGGAAATGTTGGCAGATTCGTCAATCATAGGTAATTTGCCCATGAGGGTTTCAATCTGTTTGGCGCAGTTGGACTCTACGAGACTTAATTCTCAGGTCATGAGATGATTGGCCTGGAAATTTTATTTCTGAGCTTTTAATTAAATGGCATTCATTGTTAAAAAACTTGGCTTGGGCTCGGGACTTGACACCTATTGGGCCGAATGACTCGGGCGACTTCGGACTCACTTGAGTCCTGCTCAAGCCAAAAAATTGCCTGAAAAATCTCCAAAAAAATACAAAATTGTTGAAAATAGTAAAAACAAAACTAAGTCATAACATCATTTAGTTTCTATAAAGGATGAAAAAAATTGTATATAGAAGATTTGACGAATCATCATTAAAAACATAAATATTATTTAGAAACATATTTTTGAATCATTTATTAGTGATTTATTAAATAATTTTTTTATTTTTTATGCAAATTTAAGAAACCCTTATTTGCCTTAGAAACTTGCTTCGGCAGAGTGCCGAGGCCAAGTTTTGAAACACTGAAGGTATTTGTTCTGAAACTACATTCTTTATTGTTACCCATTGATATGGATATTACTGCTGCTGATTCAGGGAGTTGACTTTAATTGACTTTGTGACCTAAATATTTTGATGGTAATAAATTTCACTTGTGGTTCCTATTATGGCCACGCTGACCATCAAAGTTCAAAAAGTCGGCTACCCAGCCTCTTAGGCGGGTTGCCTAGGAGGTTGGGAGGCCTCACTGCCGGGTGACGGCCCAGTGCAGCTTGGCTGCTGACTAATCGCCTAGGGCACCGCTGAGGAGCTATATTGGTGAGGGCAGAAATTGCCCTTGCTAAAAAGGCAGAAAATGTAATTTTCCCCCTTTAAAAGGGGGGAAATAATATTTGGCTGCCATTTTGGCTCCTGGAAATCCTAGAGACCTATATTTGTGCCCCAAAAACTACGTTTTTAGCTCAAAATTGATTTCTTTTTTGATGATCAAATTCCAATTCAAAGTTTTCAACTTCTCGTGGCTTTTTACCTATAAAACGTTTTGCGGATTAAAGTGGTTGCAAAAGAGAGATTTTGGCAACTGAAAGTGACCGATTCAAGCCTCCTTCGATTAGCTTTCAAAAAGTAAATTCAATTGTTTATGTCTAGGATTCATATGCTTTGTGAGTGTTGTGTTATGTTATGCTTTTTTAATCATTTTCTTGTGTTTATTTTTTGAAGTTTGGCTTTACTTTTATGATAAAACTTCGTAAGTGGCTTTTTTGTCTTTTTTAAGGTTTCTATTTCCGTGATTATAGTATATTTTTGGCTATGGTTCTAATTCATAATGGAACTTTGGAAAGTGTTGAAAGCTAACTTTTGAGCTAAATTTTTGCGACTTTTTATGTCTTAAACGGCTAATGCCTAATGGATGTAAATTTATGTTCTATGAGTTTTTATTTTGGCTTAAATGGTTAATAGATGTAAACTTTTGAGCAATTTCAAAGGTTTAGTTTTGGACATGTATATTTTAGTGTTAAACATCGTTTTAGAAAATGTTGATCTGATATGGATCAGGAATTGTTCTAGACCGAACTGATTCCTCTAAATATATCGAGAACATGGTGGTTCCATAAAGAACCAGTTGGTTATTGGACAGAACTGATCTGTTCGTGTTAGGGAACCGGGATCCGGCCAGGCTGGATGGCCCAATTTCCACTTTTTTGTTTTTTATTTTTTATATTTTTTATTTCTAATTTATTTATTCTTGGCCAATTCGCTCAGCCAGATTGTTGATCATTCGCCGATCCGGACCAGTTTCCGGGATGGGCTTGTTCACTCAACCAATCTAGGTTTTTAAACATTGATTTTAAATGTAAATCTTTCGCATTGGTTAAATAAGTTTGAAGTTTGCAAACACTCCCTTCCCCCACCTTTAAAGAAAATAAAAGTAAATAAAGGTACCTGTCCTTGTGTTCTTGATCATTTCTGACCATAATGTTCATGTAGTTTAGTAATCTACAATAAAAACGTTATGCGCATTACACCCCAACCACAGAAAGTAGGGTCAGCAGTCTGTTGAGTTATCAGACCTGACTACATATTGATGTCCTGGTATTCATGTTGACAAGACAGATATGTGCATGGAAGAGGGCACATTTTGCGTGATGTTACTTCAAGCTGCAGGTTAATGATTCATGCACTCTTCCCATGGAGGTAGTGCATGACGCTTTGCTACACTTGCTTGCATTGCTTGTGAAACAGAATTTGTGATGGTTTTGTCTGATGATTCATTATGAAGCCTCTATTGCCATATCCTTTACAAAAGTATAAAGGGACCAAAGTTTGGGAATCTTAAAAGATTTGACGTGGTTCCTTTACCCTGCATGCCATATGAAGCTTATTTGTGTTGGGTTTAGTGGGAGAAGTTACCAAAAATAATTATGAGATCTGTAGGGGTAAGTTGGTCCAATTGAGATGAGAAGGTTATCAGGAACATTAGTCCCACTGTTTATGCAACCTGCAGGTATTCTTGACTTGAATATAAGACAGTAACTTACCTTGTGGTCATATTCAAACCTTCTTTCCTTGTTATTGAAAATGGTGGTTGTATTCATGCTTCTAAGCATAAAGATTAGGGTTGTGCAATTGGAGCCTGGAGAACAGTTGAAAGATTTATTCTTTCTTAATTGAAAACATTAAAAATAGGGATTGTATACTAAGAGACCATTTATCTCTTTTACAAGGAGGTGACCACTACTCCTGGCTATGAGATGTCAAATTGGATGGCTTGGGTTGTCTTGAAGTTCAATAATTTTTTTTTGAACATTGACTCTAGTGAATGACACTCTTGCGACCACGCGATTTGAAATTTGAGGGACAATAGTAATAGTGACCTCCTTGTACTAATAGTAAATGGTCTCTTTGTATACTTTTCCTTAACTATATGAGGACTGCGTATTGATAAAAGATTGAAATTCTCTGCGATTATTGTCTTACTCTATATGTTAATTTGGATGTTAATTTAACAAACCTAAAATTCGTATATACTGTATGGCATACATAGACATACACACACAACAATTTGTCTATGTGATAGTAACACACACAGGTATCTACAAATTTATTAAGCATTCTGTATCTCATATAATGTATGTAGCGAGTACTAGCAAGTGTGTTTATGCTATCTAGTATACAATTTGCACCTCTTGGCTTCTACCATTTGTTTGACTGTGCCGATGCTGTACGAGTTGTTTCGATTCTGATGTTTCATGAACATACGAGCTTGATGTGGCTTGCCACATTAGAGAAGAAATTATGAGACATGAATTGGTCTTCCGAATTGTTATCAACCATGCATTAATATATTGGATAGCACCATGACCTGTTAGTGGCAAACATTGCATGAAGAGTCAAAGCCTAAAGTGGGATGTCACTTCATAGGGTGGTCTGAATGTGTGTGCACGAATGCATGTTCAAAGCACACATTTGCAATCTCTGTAGAGCCTTTTTATATTTATCATAGAAGGGCTGTCTTATTTTTGTTCTTGATGCTTAAATTTTATATTTATCTGTAATTTCTATCTTATATTTTTCTTTACTTCTTGTGGTGCGTATTATTCTAGGGGTTCAGACATTCAATTCAGTGCCACAAATGTGAGTATTTTCTTATTCAAATGTTGTTTGAATTCGTCAAATTATCATTATGGTGCATTTACCATCTAAACGTTGACCTTGTAACTATGCTCTTCTACATTCCTATTGGTCCATCAAAGTCTTGGACAGGTAGCAACACGCTTAGGTGTGTAAAGTTGGTTCCCCGAAACTACACATATTCGGGGTGTCCAGTCACATCGCAGTACTCGTTTGTTTTGAGCCCCTAGCCCAATTTCATGGGTCATGTCATGTGATCTCAGTTAAGCGTGAACCGGATCTGCGATCAAAATTTGTCAGATCATGTATGGTTGGCGTGGTTGAAAAGGAACATGGACAGTGTGCTGGCCTATTGTTGGGCGGCTACCTGCATTGAAGTGTTACTGCAGAGCTAAATAAGATAATCCACATATCTAAGGTGAAACTCATTATTCCATCTATATGATCCAAATGATCAGAGGGGTGGCACACTGGCTTGTGTTTTGTCCGGACCTTGGGTTGCATTAAGGGTTTTTGCAGGGCGGAAAGGGATGGCTAGTTTTGTGGATGGTGTATTATGCTATGTTGTATGTCTCAGCATTCAAGTTTACCAGGGATGAGGATTCAGGCTTGGGCTTGATTGGTTAAGGACCTTAAGATGTTGACTGTTACAACACTATATCCCCAGTTGGAATCTTATAGCTGAACTACCATTAAAAGAAAGAAGTTCGACAGGATCCTAATAAAATCTTTGATAGATCAACCATAAGTTGTGTGGTTTCAAATGAATTTTAGAACTGATGAACGTAGTTTTTGGGTTCCTGGAACTTGGAATTTGTTCGACCCTTGAGGAATGTTGCCCCGAGCTATGTTTTGGACATCGTTCTTTTGCTTTATGATGCAATGAGGTTTTTCGATCCTGGGCCAGCACAACTCACTTATATCCATTATTTTGAATTCTTCCTTGTGGTTTTCTTTGTTCCCATCATCTCATGCAAGATATGTCAGCATTTAAAATTCAATCACTGGATTTAAGTTTGCATGAACCAAGCATTGGAGATTGTATTACAAAATTGGTCCAGAAAAGTCGTAGCACATGAATTTAAATGTGGCACTATAGGTTAAAAAACTGTTGTATTCAGTTGATGATCCTTCATGCCATTGGTAGAACTTGTATTAATGGTTTTGCAAATTGCATGAACCCAGCACTAAATTCATTAGCAAACTTGTTCAATTCTAAATGGTTGGCACCATTGGCATAGAGACCGAACTAGTTGTCTTATCAGTTAGGAGTTGATCGTATCCCAATGGATCTCGATGGTGAGTCAGTTGGATCAGTCTCAAAAGATAGCATAAATAATGCACAAAATTAAGGAAATTCAAATACAAAATTTTTTGCCTCATTGTTCTGGCACATTTCTCTGGCTTTTACTTAATTTTTCAGTTTTTAAGATAGAATGGGCAATTCCTGACCTAGTTCCTTGTCGAATTTGTTGGCCTGATACTGTTCTTCTAATGTTGGGACTTAGAACAATCAACCTGAAATATGTTACTGCATCATACACTGGTTTTTGGTCATCATTCTGTTCGAATGGCATCTGAGTTTGGATGAAATTTGGAAATGCTTGCCTGTAAATGACTGAATTTTTCTAAAACTTGGGTGAACTTTGAGAATCAAACATACATATCAAAAGTAGAACTTCGATATTCATGCAAACAACATACTGTTTTCTTTTAATAAAAATTGCTCTATAATGTTTTTTTTATTAATGTAATGACTTCTAGGTGTGGTGATGCAAATTTGGTGGAGATACCAGTTGAAATAGAGGTGCCAGATCATCACTAGTATCATGTATGCAATCTTACAGACCTATTTTTTCTTGAAATATAGTATATTCTTAGTTTTCATTTGATATAGAGCCTTTTTTATGGGAAAAGTTTATATAGAGCCAAGGCTCTAAACAATCAAATTTGAGCCTACCTCGAAAACTTCACTAGAAGAGGTTGTTTTGATGCCCAAATATCTTCAAATTGATCATCTCAACATCAAGATGCATGGACATGAGAAAAAAAATGGATTTCAAGTTTTGGAAATAGTGTATTTTGTGACGCATTTTTGCATCGTCAATTTTCAAGATTTTCAAGTTTTCATAGATCTGTTGATCTACACTATTTTTGAAGCTTTAAACTTTATAAATAAAGGTGAAAATATATTTTAAGGCTGTCACAAAGATTTCCAGTATTGAAACCACATTTCTAGATACTATTTGAAGGTAGGCTCTAATTTGATTGTTTAGGGCCTAGGCTCCATACAAAAGGCACCCTTTTTTATTGTTTAATATTGAACTTCAAAATCCAAATCTTTCTTTTGATATGTGCAGCTTGCCTTCTTTACAACGAGAAAAGTAGAAGCACTAGATGAGCTTACTTGGGTATGTAACTTGACTTTTGGTAGACATGCTTGTGATGATTGTTTAGCTGTTTGGCTCTGCAGTGATTTGCCTGTTCTTCTATCTGACAATAATCATTGGATCTCGGATGAGCAAGAAATGTCCTTGGATACTTAAATGCTAGAAAGTTGAATGGCAATGCATTATTCCAATAGAGATCTCCAATCAGAAGTCTCTTCCATGCTTGTCTTAAAATGAATTAAGCCTTTTTAGCTGTAAATTTGCCTTTAGAGTAATATATAATGATGTGAATAAATCAATAAACCTTGCATTCTTCATGTAATTAATGAGTTCTATCGGATCACCATCATCTCTAGGGATTTAGCATGGATCCTTCAATAATGAATTTCTTTTATGAAATTAAATCCCATGTTGGTATTTCTATTAGAGCTCTCAATTTTCTGTTATAAGTATCAATAAGCTACAGCATTGCAGTTCTTGTGCAGTATGACCACTAGATTCCTTTCATAGGTTGTTTTCCACTGCACTTGTGGCATTTGTTGCAGGACTATGGTATAGATTTTGAAGACCATGACCACCCTGTGAAAGCTTTCAAATGTCTTTGTGGAAGCAAACTCTGCAGAGGAATTGGGCAACGAAGCAGTAAGTACCTTCATGCACCATTAGATTTTCTTTTTCTAGCTTCTTTCCCCTATTTTAGGCTTTTGGCCTGTCACCCTATCATTTCAAACTAATTTTTGTGTGGGGGATAACTAGTGAAATCCCATGCACCTTGAAGATTACGAAGCAAAAGCCACACTCATTTTGTTCTATAACCTAGCCTAATGTATTTAATTTAGAAAAACTACACTTTTTTTTATAAGAAAAAGAGAAAAGGATTTTATTTCAGTGCGAAGAGAGAGAGAGGCAGAAGAGGAAAAAGGATGCTGCCAGGGGAGGGGGGGTTTAAAAATGAGGTCTTTGTCTTTAACATGCTTCCTGAATGTGAGGTCTTTGGTTTTTCTCACCATCTTGTCTCTCTTTTTTAACATGCCTTGATTCGAACGGTTTCCTTTTTCCTGATTTAGTGGCAGTTTAGATTATTTTTTTTTTGCCTTTCGCCTCCTAATATTGACCCTTTGCTATTTTTAGGGACAAAGGTCAGGCCGCTTACTGTTGACGGCTCATACCGAACATGATTCTGAGATCTCTCAACTTCACTATAACTGGTTTCAACGCATTAGCATACTGGGTTCTGAGTAGATGGACAAAATTGTACAGTGGCTACCAGTCCAAATCAATCCAATTAGGCGTTTTCCCATGTAGTTGTTTTATATTTTGTCTTAATACTTTTGGATCTAATTCTATGGATTGGTGGCGGTTTTTCTGACTTTGCAGCTTCCAGGCTTCTTGTGCTCAACAATGTTGTGGACCATTCGTTTTCTCCTAACTTCTGCGTTCAGTTTGGAGTTCCGGTTTCATGGTTTGGATTCAAATTTTACAGTTCTTGGTTGTGGCTTTGTTTGGATATTTTCTGGAATTTTGGTTGCCGTTGCAGAAGGGGATTTGGCTGAAAATTAACATGCATTAATCTAAATTTGGACAAAATATAATAGAATATATATTAGGTTATGGTTTGCATAACGTGTCAACCTTAAACGATCAGAGTAAACGTGTCACCCCAACTTTTATTGGAAGATGTAATTTTGGTATCTGAAATTCTTAAAATGGCTGGAAAATCTGTTTTTGCTTTCTTTTTTTAAAAAACAAAAAACAAAATCTATTATCACCTATAATTATAAAATTTAAAATTTTAAAAATGGTACTAATCGAACGTATCTATAAACACTTCAAAAATCTTGATAATAAATGGTATATATTATGAGAGAAACTATTTTTTAGGATTTAAAATTCTCTTCATTTATGTATTCTAAACTTCTTTCTTTCTCTTTTCCTACATCTCTCTCTCCTCTCTTGTTTCTCAAAACACCACTCTATTCTCAATAGCCTTTTACTTCCAGGAAGCTTTTTCTCTCTCAAGAAGTTTGGGAGAATGGCTTTTAAAAATTGCATATCTTTTTAGATTTGTTTGATCTAAAAAAAACAGGTTCAAAATTAACTCAAGGGTTAGAAGAAATAAAATGTACAATTTATATGTCTCAAAATATCTTTTAAAACCTTGGATCTATTATGTAATAGAACTTAAAAATATAGGGCATGCTGATATTTTCCTTAAAACTTTTTCCTTAATACAATATTTGCCGTATATCTATGCTGGAATCAAGAAATTCATGGCATGAAATGTTTTGCCCAAAGTTTTCAGTAATAATAAAGAGGGAAACTTACAATCTAGTGGGGCCTCTACACTTAACTTATGCATGCTTAGGCGCAGGTGTTTGATTTAAGGAAAAAGTTTATATAAGGGCGAGGCCCTAAACATTCAAATTTCAGCACACCTCATAAATTTACTAGGTGGGTTCGCAAAAATGCTCAAGTCAATCATCTCGACTTCAACTGTATAAATGAGAAAAGACAGACTTTGAGTCTCGAAAACATTGCATCCTATAATGCATTTTTGGAACCCATAATTTTCTATTGTTTATAGATCGGTTTGATTTACACTGTCTTTAAATTTTATAATTAGACATGAAAATAAATTTCGCGTCAATCACAAAGATTTCATTAATGAAAGAAAATCTTTTTAAAGGTGCGCCAGAAAATCTTTTTAAAGGTGCGCCTTTGATTATTTAATGGAGCACTCATAAGACCTCAACGACAATTAAATTTTGACTTATCTTTATTTTATAATGATAAGTTCCATATCTGATAATTATCCCGTAAAATAAAATCATCACAATATGATATTATCACAATAAAGACTTTTTTCAATATAGATTGTATACAACGAGACCATTTACCTTTGATACAAAGTGGTCACAATTACTTACAACCATTCGATGTGAAATTTGATAGCTTGAGTGTGCCACAAAATTCGAGAAAAATTATTTGAAGTTTGAGATTGGTCAATGGAATAAATACAGCCACTCAATTTCATATTCAATGGTCAAGATTAATTGTGATTACCTAGTACAAAAAGTAATTGTCTCATTCTCTGCTTTTCCTTTAATAACATGTACATATAAAATGTAAAACTCGAATTTGAAAAGAAGCATTCATTTGCTTATAAATAGCTCTAATAAGGTAAATGGGACGCAGTTGACTAGAAATTTTGGAAGGAATTGATTTGATTATATTATTTTTTATATATATTAATAAATATCACAACAATGTGCAAGCAATTTGCATAGACATGTATGGCTAAAGCTATTTTGTCTAATGAGTTCTGATATATTTTAGTATTTGTATACATTATTAACACTGTTATTTACAAACTTCCATGCTAATGAAGCTCAATCTTGGTGTCATTCTTCGGTTTTGGGTAGCATTTCACTGTAATGAGGCTATACAAATGAAACTGAATTAGTCACTAAGTTTGTTGGTTTTTGAAAGCATTTCCTTGCTATACAACTGAAGAAGCTGAGACACTGCGAAATTTGTTGGTTTTTGATAGCATTTCCCTATTAGGTGGCTTGCTGAGGGCTTCATGTGCATAGCCCAAAGGCATTGCTGGTCTGATGCCTCCAGGGTTCAGCAGGAAGAGAATCCGATAGTAACCGTCCATGATTGCATCGAAGTTGCATGTGGCTGCAACCTTTGGAATCTAAGCAAAACAAAACAGTATAAAGAGAATAAATTAACAAAAAAAAATGAATGCATAACATGTAAATTTAAATGGTACAGTAGAGGTCAAGGGAGAGAAATTTCCCAATTATCAATGCATTTCTAATCTTGATTTCTTTTCATTTTCGGGCAAGCTGTTCTGCTAGTTGAAAAAATCTCCTTACTATTTGAGAATTTGTAACAATTTTCGGAAAAGATATTTCTTGGCTCTAGCTTTTTCTCTCAGTTTTCTTTTCTTTTAAAAGATATTGTTAATTGCAGCATACAAATAATTCAATAAATAGAAACTTAAATTTCTCTGTTTTTAAATTTACCATTTCGATTTTTTTTTTCCCAAATGTTCCCCAACATGTTCCTGGACTTTATCTGAAAACTCCAAAATTTTAGACTCCCTGAGGGAATTCCACACATCATAATAAAATGCTGTCATACCCAACTCTCACCCATCAAGTATATGAACACTTTCTGATCAGTAAACCCTTTTATTTTTCTATTCATGGAGTATCAGATTGAGAGTTACCTGATATATGTCAAGCATATAACCATGGAGATTAGGGTACTCTATCAACTTCTTCTTCGTACATTTGAATAGAACATTATATACTAGATCAAAGCGAATCAAAGTGGTAAACAAGCAAATATCAGCAAGTGTCAGTGCATCACCACATAAGTATCGGTTAGTGGCCAAGTGGGCATCGATCTTATCTAATGTACTGAACAACACCTCAACAGCACTATCGTATGCCTCTTGGCTCTGTGCAAATCCACATCTGCAGAAAAATAATAATAGTGTGTTTTCAACTTCCAATTCTGGATGTCACTTCCTCCATAGATACATCGATCTTTAATACATGAGCTAGTTTATAGCGGGTTTTGATTTTCAACTCTTCACTTCTTTCGATGATATGTCAATCTTTTGTTGATACATAGTACAATTGTCAAAGGCAGCAAGAGGAGAACATCGCTTTTCAGATCAGATTCATATATGCTATTTGAGAACTATCCGTTGAATTAAAAAGTAACTATTCCAGAACAAAAAAAAATAAAAAATCCAGAACATCAAATGAATATGCAGGGTACCAAACCATAATTCCACATAAGGGAGTCTGCATTTTTGCAGTTGATTGAATAAATAAAAGATGTTATTTACACAAACCATTCAATTCAGGTACTTGAATGCACATAGAAAAGGAGAGGTCAAGTTTCTTATTGAACAATGTGAAAACACCATGTACGGCATGTTAGCATAGGATAGTATTTGCATCCAACAATTCATTTAACTTGGACTTGGATGCAAGCATGGATGTCACGCACAGCACAAACATGGATATGACGCTGCAAATTTAGTAAATGTAGGATGAGAGTAAATGGCATATGTTTTATATTTAGATATATATTTAGAAGAATACAAAGTATATTAAGAACTCAATAACCACGCTGAAGTTAAGTAATACAGTATTGAAGTCATATATGAACGTTAGTCATTTCCATCCATGATATTCAACAAGATTAAATACAATCATGTTTTCTTACTGCCACAGGATCAATTATTTATGAAGCATCTACGTTTTCTTATTTGAAAGAGAGTACTCTTAACTTGTCTTTATCTGCCATTTCAAGTGAGACCCAAATAACCATATGTGACATCAAGAATGGGGACGATAAATAATACCAACTCGACAAATAACCATATTGCTAGGAAAGCACAAAAATTCCCCAAGGATGTAAACATAATTTAGAGAGACTGCTTGCTTATGGTTGACACCCAAAAATATGAGACATTGGACACGGCTGACTAGAAAAAGGAACTTTCTTTTAAAGACAGCATAAAATCACCCTAAGTTTCACCTCAAAAGGTACAATATGTGTGTTTGTAAGGATTTGATTGGAATTTTATGTGACTGAGAACGGGAATTTGACAACACTTGAACGGCAACTGTGCATTTATTATACGTCCTCCTTTTGTGCCATCGTTGAAAAGATCAACTTCGTCAGACATATGAGATTTGATATATTGAGCTTCAAGATTCACGAACACTTGGAAACCTAAAAATTTTTTCTCGAACAATACATTTTCTCAAGAGGAACTATAATTAAATGTGGCAAGAATTGCAGAAACCAAACAAAATCCAATCACTTGCACCATGGCCCCAAAAAGGAACCAACATAAATATTATCATAAGCACTGGAAGACAATCTATCATAGACAAAATAGGAAAATTGGTGTGCATTTTGGGAGTAGAATTCACCTTTTCACACACCTTTTGATATTAATAGAGGTGGGTGCTCTCATTCTGCTTTTTTATGCTTCTGATAAACATTCTTTCCCTATAAAGATCCCAATAGCCCAAGAGAAAACACTGTAAATTCTCTACCAACAAATACGGCTCGACAAAGATCGAAAATCACGGGCAGCTTGGGTGCGCACCCATAGTGATATACTTCTCCCTCCTTCCCCCAAAAAATAAAAAAAAATAAAAATAACCCAGCAATTATCATATAGTTTCTATTTGGCGGAGATTTCTGCACAAGCTAAGTTCCAAAGGTGAATACACAAGGAGTTACAGTAAACAATTGCACCCGTAAAGTGGTCCATCAAAAAGGTCCCGATTTTACATAACACTCATGAAATAGATTACAAAAGGTGACAAAATGCAACAATTGAGGTAAGAAATTGGCAAAGTTGGTTCAACCCAATGTTTAAAAAGTTGGACCGGTGAGCTAAACCAGTCACTCACTGGTTCCAAGTCGAACAGATAAAGTCGCAAATCAAAAAAAGAAGGAAAAGGAAGCAAAAAAAATGCAAACAAAATTTAAAATGTTTAAAAAAACATTTAGGGATTTCAAATCATTCTAGAATCAATAGTTTGCTAACCAGCAATTATCATATAGTTTCTATTTGGCGGACTTTTCTACACAAACTAAGTTCCAAAAATGAATGCACAATAAGGAGTTGCAGTAGACAATT